TGTGGTAAGTTTTGGATAACGAGAAATGGGTGAACCAGTTCTCGTTGATTCCAGTTCAGTTTTAGGTTAATGACTCCTTCTGCGGTCATTACCTGTGAACTATTGGGAACTAATGGAAAGCGGAAAGCTTTTTTAATTAGTTCTAGACCAACGTGTTTGTGAACCAAGGTTTCGTAGAAAGCTCGGTTAATTGCTGATTTATCTGTCCACAGAGACAGTACAGCATCGTTGGTGTGGGACCCTTGGATCTCTACACCCTTAACTACCAGTGGTAGGTAGTGTTTGGTGGACTCTGACAGCTCCAGCTCACAGAGGAGGCTGTCTTGTTGAGTCAGAGTTTGGACCTCTTGGTGGGTCTCTTTGGTTTCACATGGTGTCAGAGGAGTACTCACCGGGCTCGTGTCCTCGGCTGAGGAGTCCTTTGTGCCTTCCGCGGTACCTGCTGTTGGGCAGTCTGTGTCACACTCCGGAGGCGTATCTATTGGCAGTGGTTTGCTCACTGTTGTCCACATTGTTTGATCACCATAATCTATAATCGCGTTAAAGCGATTTATAAAATCCTGGCCAACCAAAAATGGGAATGAGTCAACATGAGTCACGTGTACCGGGTGGTACAGTGTCATATTGCCAATCTGCATGTGAACCATTGCTATAGCTGTCAGGGTTGTTTTATTCTCTGAAAGACCCTGCATTTCTATAGCACAATCAGATAGAGGTATTATCCTGTTTTTCTCGGCTGCGGCTGTCCTCAGCTCCTCGAACAGTTTAGCTGACATAATTGTTATGTCTGCCCCACCGTCCAGGAGTGCTTCGTGTGTGAGGACACCTTCGAGTGTTACTGACAGGTACGCCTTTTTGGCGGCCCCCTTTCTGATAAAGTTACACAGAAACCTCTTGGGTTTTTTCTGGCGCTTCTTCATGCGTTCAGAAGTGCTTGTGTAATCTTGGTTTGTCTGAACCGTCAGCACAGCTGTAGCTGTTTCTGCGTGTTCAGCTTGCGATGACTCGTCATCGTTTGTGTGTGTGATTACCCCCCTTTCATCCGATTAGGGGTTGTTTGAGGCAACAACAGCAACGTCTTGGTGTGTTTCACCGACGTCTGTAGTGTTGTCATTCGCGCCCAGAGATGTAATAGTGAGTACCTCACTGCATAGTGCTTTTGGTCGGCTTCCCTTGTCAGTGTGTTTCAAGTCTTCTAACATTTCACGCAATTTTTCTGTCTCTTCCGAGCTCAGA